CGAGGAATATCACTGAAGCGGATAAGATGTTAAAGGAAATAAAGTAGGGAAAAGCATAATTACCGAAAGAAACTCAGCTCATGAAAAGCATCCTTTGCGAAAATTAGAAGATGGAATGAGCTCTCCAACCGCGAGACGTATTGTATACCTCGGACGTAAACGAAAATGAAAGCAAGAAAAAATGAACACGAGGCGTTCTCTATGGAAGACCAGACCAGTTGACGGCCTTAGAGCTCCAAGCCTACCCGTTCGACTCAACCGTTTTCTGCGCTTTGTCGTGCAGCAAAGATATGGCTTGTGGCCTGACATGGTGGCTACGTTTAAGGTTCTCCAAATAACCTATAAGGCGGTGTAAAGAATCCTTTTGAATTTCAATCGACGAACTCAACATCTAAACATCGCACTTCAGATACGAGATCATTTCCCATTTCTTAGATCCAGTGGGATACGTTTTTAAAGTAAAACTCGATGGGCTGGTCACATAATAAGAAGGACGACGACAATGAGATAAACGCTAAGAGCTCCGAAAGAATCGTTTGCAAAACAAAATGCCCTCGATTAAGATCGACTAGAAGAGCTGGCGAGTTCGCTGCACGAATGACCAGCTAAAATCTCAGCTGGTAACGAGTGATGGATCTACACTTCGTGCATGTCGTCGCCGCAGTTCAGCATACTAACATCGTGGATGGCGCTAGCGAGAGAGACTGATGGAAACAATGCTGCAGCCTGCACGATGAGTAAAGACAAGCCGATTTGGATGCTCTTCTTAATGCACCAGAAAAAATGGCAGAAAGCTCTGTTGCATCTTTAACTTTGGCGAACTTAAGCTTTTTATGTGCTTTCTATAAGGTATTTCGGAGTCTTTCCAATACTTTCAGTACTTAATTAATGATTGCTTATCCATCGAGTTCCTTGCCTTTAATGTCGGCATTAGGGAAGTGCTGTGGCGCAACTGCACTGAGCAGAAGTAATCTATACTTTATTTGTGTATTTGCTTTTTGATTTTACTTCCTCATTGTTATGTTAATGCAAGTACTCGTAAAAATTGAAATCGACCCTCCATGTTCAATTTGTTGCTTTTCCTTTCTAAAATAAAGCCTACTACATATTCGTAGAACTCCGCCATCATAAAGAAAACTGTTCATTATTATATCATTAAAAAACCTCTTTGACCAGTGTAAAGGCATGAAACTATCAAATTTCAGACAAGAGC